CTTCACAACGAAGGCAAAGCGAATGGGCTTCCCTGGAGATGCACAGCACGGTCCCCAGCGTGCGAACCTGCTGCCCTCAGAGCTTGCCTGCCCTGACCCCTCTGCCCTGGGGCCCGGATTCCCTGCTGCCAGCACTGCAAATTACTTGGACTTAACTTCTCTCACCGAGCAACACAGAGTAGAGTAAGGAGTACAGGACAGACCTGGGTTCAAACTGAAAGTAGTCACATTTTAGTAGCTTTGAGGCCCTGGAAAAGTTATTTCATCTACTGGCATCTTAGCCTTCTCATTTGTAAGTTGGGGATAGTAAAACCTACCTTCAGGGCTCTTAGGAGGATTAAATGAGATCATATTTATAAAGTGCTTAGAACAGTGGCTGGCACATGGTTCATTTTATGTAAGTGTTTGTTAAATGAATACAAATTTATCTCAGTATGCCACATTTTAAAAGGCCACATCCAGTCTTGGAACTTGGAAGATGGTTTTAAAAACAAAAAGATTGTGGGGTAAATGAACATCTGAACCGTGGATCCGAGTCCTCAGCTCACCACAAACATATGGTGTGACTTTGGGAAGTGCTCTGCCCTCTCTGAGCCTCACTTTTCTGTTTGTACAATGGGGGCGCATGACACATTATCCTGACGGTCTCTTCGGGCTTGAACATGCTAGGACCCAAAAGCTTGCGACACGGGAGCCCACCATCCATCCTCAACTGGCTCTAGTCTTGGCTTACCTTATCCTCCGATCCCTGGTGGATCCAGGCTTTCTGAACTGCCAAACTCGACCCCTTGGAAATGCCAGGTCCAGGGGTTGTCAGCATGGATTAGTTCTGGGAAACACTACAGCCAGCAGAGTGTCCCCAGTGAGGGCACTTATCCTGCCTGGCCACGGAGGGGGTGAGCTGAACATTCCGAACAGCCAAGTGGCCTCAGGGGAGCATTAGAGAAAAGGACAGCGGGAAGCTGGTGTTGGAGATCTCTTAATCCTGGGGAATTTAGAGTCACCACAAAGTGGACTCCTAAATGAGTAGGGATTTGCTTCTTCTCCCAGCCTCGACAGACTGCTTCTGCGCAGGGAGAGGTTTTAAATAGCAAAGGTGACTTGACTTGATGTGGCCAAGCTCACAGTTGGACACATTCCTCCTCTGGTTCCCAGGGTTCAGAAATAGTCTGGTGGGGGCACAGAAGCGCCCTGGGAGAAAGGAGATGTGGGCTTCTCAGGTGTCCCTGAGAGAGGACATAGGTTGCGTCAAATCAATGTGGAGGGGGCATCCTGAACTACCATGGGGCATTTTAGGTTTAGTGGGCCTCGGAGCTGTCTTATGCGGTCCTCCTAGGTGGAGACACTGAGTCCCATGAAAAAAAAAAGATCTGCTCAAGGTGCCCCTTGAGGAAAAGAGCGCATGGCAGAGCCAAGCGTCAGACCCGGGTCTCCGGACCCTAAAGTTGGCTGACTCCTACTCCTTAGATATACAGCTTCTGCACCAGCTACAACCAGCACAAATCAGTGCAATGTTTTATTCAGTGCATGTTTACCAAGACTTTGCCGCATGCAGGTCCTGGGCAAGGCACAGGGACGGGTGGGGTTGGGGTGGGACAGAGATGAGCAGGGACTTTAGCAGCCTGAGAATAGATGCTTTAGGAGGGAGGAGCTGAGCGAGGGCAGCACATCTGGCTGGAAGGAGGAAGGGGCTGGGAGCTGGAAAGCTGCTCCTTTTCACTGGTCTCCTCTCCCCTGTCAGTCCGAGGGAGGGATGGATGAAGGCTCCCTCCTTAGCTGGGGCATTCCCTCTGGTCAGTCCGCTAAGGCAGCCTCTCCTCTCCCAAAGCCCAGCACGACTGCCCTGGAGTCTCCCTTCCAGCGGCCCTCTGGTTTGTCCCAGCCTGGCTGTAGCCTGCCTGAGGTGAATCATCTCTCACCTGGCGTGTTCCTGGGCTCCTGGGCTCCAGCCCACAGTCGTCGCGTGCTTCCTGCTCTTTGCTGCTCCAGTGGCCTCCCTGCAGCAAAACAATCTTTAGGAACTGAGCTTTGTGGGAACCCGATGCTGCCTCCAATTCTCTCCAGGGCTGTCCTGGGACAAGTGCAGCCAGACAGGTTCTGGCAGCCCCAGAGGTCAGAGTCAGGACCAGTGGGAGGAGCACAAGGGCAGATTCAGCTCCGAGGGAGGCAGCATGGTCTGTTAGCCAGAGACTCTGGTGTTCCAAGGGAGGGCTCTGGCGGCAGGGAGGGGAAGGGGAAGGAGAGGGAAATCTCCCACCTTGGGAGGTATATGAGCAAGGGCTTGAGACCTTGTCACTTGCTCCGATGTTGTAGAGGGTGTTTAAGCATCAGATATAGGCACCACATTCCAGACCAGGACCTAGGATTGTAAGCAGTCCAGCGCACTGGAGTTCCATGTCTGCATCCTTTCTTGGGCCGGGCACAGTTTGAGAGCATTTGTGGTTGCAGATAAGCATGTGGGTCAGGTTCATCTCAGCCTCCTTAGCCTTCAGCATGGAGCCTGGCGCTTGCTAGGGTCAGACGCGCTTGCTGAGTGAACGAATGATTTGTGAGTGCCGAGATCCCAGAATTACACCAGGACTGGGCCCAGTCTCTCCAGCTGAGGGATGGTTGGGGACTTGGGTGTGGAGCAAAGGCTCCCCTCTGGCTGTCAGTGTCTGAGAGCTCCCCCACTTCAAAGGACTTGTAGATAAGGAGGGCTTTCTGGGCTAAGTGAGATCCGGCCCTCCCCTAGCCTCCCCTCCCCCCAACCCCACACCAAATGTGCACATGAAAATCTAGCTTTCTTATCTGCCTAGGCTCAGATTTGGCACCCTGGGGCTTGAAAGGCTGACAGAGCAACTGATGGTACATCCAGATGTCCTTAAAGACCTCCAGCTGTGGACCATGGGACATTGTTCCTTCTGAGGTGCCAACCCTAACTTGCACCTGCATGAAGGTGTGAGGACCTACTTGGCTAGGAATGGTAGAGGCTGCACTAGGAAGGCAGAGGAGCCCAGTGAGAGTGCCGGACCTGGCTGGAAGGATCCCAGGAGAGGAAAGAATGCTAGAGGACAAAGAAATCGGAGGATGAAAGCCTCCAATTTGAAGGTAGAAGTCCCTGCGTTAGACAGAGTCCTTAACCTCACGGTTGAAGAGTGCATGATTGGATGGCTGGAGGATGGCTGGCTGAAGTGGATGGCGGTCCATTCAAAGATTTATTGAATGCTTCCTTAGACTCCACGTGACGAATCAGACCCAGCCTCTGTCCCCAAGGAGCTCACAATACACAGACGATGACACCACGGTTGTAATTCAACTTGGAGACGGGCCTTGAAAAATGGAGGGGGGTTGTGGTTACATGCTGAAGACAAGATGGGGCAGAATTCTCAGTGAAGTTCCGGGTCACTCCCCTGGGATCTGAGATGTCATGAACCACTTTGAGATGAAATTCAAAATGAGCAAATATCTCGGTTGACGTTTATGCCTTCTTAAAGTGGATTTCAGTATGGTTAAGATACGGTGGCCATAAAACTTCATGAAAAGCTTATGGAAAAAAATTAAAAATTGAGAAAGCTGTATCTCTTCATGCAGGTTGTGTGTGAATTGACAACTCAATGGGAGGACTACTCTCTCTACAGTCTTTTATTTAATACAATCCAGAAGATTATCACACACACACTTTTCAGATAAGAACGCGTGGGTTCAGGGAGGTTAAGGAACTCACTCAAGGCCGCACAACCAAAGTGGCAGAGCTGGGATGTGGTACCATGGCTCTGACTTGAATGCCAGCTGACCTTTCTCATATCACTGGATCTTCAGTTTTCCCTCAGCAGAAGGACCCACGGTACGACTCCTGCAACTCCAGAGCCTACAGAAACAAGATCGAAAGGCTTAGTTCTGCACAAAGTCCTGGAAGCAGGAGAACAGGGTCAGCTTGATGGAGAAGTGGTTACTGTTCAGTGTGACTGAGGAGAGCCTTTGCTCAAGGCAGAAGAGGGAGATGGGTGAGGGAGGGAGAGCAGGCCCCTTTCCAGGGGGCTTTGAACCCCAGACCTGGAGCTGTCCCTATGTAGAGTTGATGCCCAGTAGCTGTTGGTTGGAGACCTTTACAAACCAACACAATGCCAAAGAAGCTTGGTAGGGTAGGGGGAAAAGAAGGTTTGAGTTACTTGAATTCAGTTTCTGCTGCTCCTTTGAACAGAATTCATGGCAAGGACTTCAGCTATTAGTAACGTGTATTAACTACTTACTTTGTGCCAGGAACAGTTCTAAGAAAATTACATAAATTAACTCATTTATCCTCACAATGCTCCTGTGAGGTGGATACAGCTATGAACCCATTTTACATATGAGCAAGTAGAGGCAGTGCTTGTGCACCTTGAGCCAGTGACCCATTCTCCAGGTCCCAGATTTTACACTTAGAGCACAGAGAACTGAGCTAAATGAGATAACTCATGTGAACATAGCCCCCCACACACAATTGGTATGCAAGAAACATTTGTTGAATTGTAGTCTGACGTTAGTAATGAAGTGACAAGGCCAGTGTTTTCTGACTCCAAACTCTTTGGTTCCTTTACCACTCCATCCTCCATCCCAAGGGTCCAGCACGTAGTAGGTGAGCATTCAATGTCCCAGAAGTGGTTGACGAAATTTTTGTGAATTCCAGGGCCTGTCTTGGACCAGCTGCTTCCTTGTACTCCACCCATAGGAGGCATGGGGTGTGTTTTCTTGAGGTGGGAAGTCCCACCCACAGACACTGCTTCCCTGACTCACGGGCCTGGTCTCAAAGGGGAGCATGTGTGGGCAGCCTCAGGGGAGAGGTGGCGGGGATCCCCTGGCGAGGTTATGCTTCCCTTTCTGCTGTGTCAGCCCTTGGGCAGGGTGGATCCCCACTCTCTGGGTGGTATGTGCAAGACTGCGTAGGCTTGTCTGAGAGCCAAGCGTGGATGGGGAGCACGTGTGCCTCCCACTGCTGGGTGTACGTGTTTGTCTTAGTGTGAAACAATCAATCTTCGTGCCCGTTGCCTTCAAGAAGTGGATTATCTGGTCCTTCGGAAACAGAATCACTCAATTAAGGAAATGAGAGCTCAGCAGTGTCAGGCTGGAAGTTCTGACTATGGGTGTCAGACGGTGGGTGTCCTGCCTGTGCTCTTTGCAGGGAGATCTCGCTGCCTGCCTAGGATCGCTACGGAACTGGTGACAGGGCCCTGAGGACGACAACACCTGCTCTTGCACGGGCCCTGGAGGGAGGAAAGTGGGAGATGAAGCTAAGGCGAAAGGTAAGACTGTGGGGCAGAGAGAGGCTAGAGAGAAAGGTGCAGTGGGCCGGGGAGCAAGCCCGCAGGGTTCCCAGCTTCTGTCTGTCTCGTGGCTACGGCACAGTGGGAGGCGTGTGACCTCTGATGTCACGTACATCTGGGGCTTGTTGCAAGACCTGGGGATTTGCCCGGAGTCCAGTCTGTGCAGAGCTGACCAGGGAGGGTCCTCACTGCACTTGGAGCAGGGAGGTGGGTGGAGTTATTTTTTGAGTCTGCCTGCAGGCTGCGATCACAGGACCTGGAGTCAGCCCTCACCCGAGCCTGCAGAAGGATGCATTCTAGGTCACCTGGGCTTTCTCAGGAAAGTCCAGCTCACAATGACCTGTCAGACCTGCCAGACCCTCTCCCCAGCCCTCCTTGGAACCTTCCAGCTGGAGTCTGTTTGCACAGCTGGGATGGGGTTAAACGGCTGCCCTCTGGGTCCTGAGGCCCTGGCCAAATACCCTTAGGCCACTTGGAAGTAGCCCAGAAGGATGAAAAGGGGCCTGCAGACCCGTGGATGGGGCTCGGAGTCCTGGGCTGCTCCAGCTGCTTGATCTCTATCGGGTCCTGGGGCCTCTATGAGACTTCATTTCCTTATCTGTAAAACGGAGAGAATAAAACACACAGCAGTCTCTTGGGAGAACTAAGCCTGATCACACACATGAGTAACCAGCCTAATGTCTGACACATAGTGGGGGGCTAAAAATGTTAGTTCCCTTCCGTTTCTTCTCTATCCCTTTTCTCCTGTTTTCTCACTCTGCAGAGTCATTCATTATTATTCTGATATGCATTCACTGAATACCATTGGTAGCAGGCACTGTAGATGCCATGGTGAGTGAGGCAGGCCTTAGCTCTTGAACAACATACAGCCTTGAGGCAGAGGCAAACAGACAAGGGCAATGCCACACAGCAAGTAGGAACAGACCGCCTTCTCAGAAGAGGTGCTGATCCTAAAGTCTCAGACTTTCCTGAGTGGTCAGATGCCTTCCTGCTGCCCTTCATCCTTTAAGCACTGCCTCCTCCATGAAGCCATCCAGGTTTTCACCTGGCCTCCCACAAGGTGTTGTACTAAATACTTGACCGTCCAATGCTTGGAACAATGCCGTGAGATGGGTAATATTATTGCCTCAGTTTACAGATAAATCGCTGGGACTTAGAGAAGTCAGGTACAGTGGCAAGATGTCATCTGAATTCAGCCCTGAGTCCAGGGTCCAAGCTCTTTCCATAAAGCTAACTTGCCTCTTCCTCAGGGCTTCCTTCTACCCTGGGCTCCGTCAGGGCCTCTCAGAGGAGTTATCACTGGCTTTTAATGATTTGTTGACTGAGCTGTTGTCCCCACCGTCTAGAAACCCTTCAGGAGCTGGACCATCTCTGATCCCGTCTGTGACGAGGGGCCCAGCGTCCAGCTGGCACAGAGCAGACATCAATGCACATTGGTTGAGATGGAACCAGGTCAGAAGCACATCACGACTGTCTCCCCACTTCCATCGGACAGCGTCCATGATTGGAACGGTCACTCTCCACTCTGGATTCCACCCTGGCAGCATGACCTCACACCGTTGGCCCGGGTCCCTTCCCCCCTCCCTTCTTCCTGGTCCCAGGTGCTCTGGGGCTGGCAGGATGCAACAGGATAGGATGTGCGGTGGCCATACATGTCCAGACAAGCAGGCCGACCCAGGAGGCAAGGACGAGAGTTCCCGACTCACACCAAGGTGAGGGTGAAGGCCAGGGGTGGAGACACGCCTGATAAGAAGTCACACCTCATCAAGCCAGTAAGCCTCAGCAGGGCCTTGCTAAGGAGCTTCAGGAGTTGAGGGTAGGACAAAGGGCTCCGAGAATCAGCCCCCAAAGCAGGAAGGAGATCCGGCCAACTCCGCAGACCTGGGTCCCTCTGGTGTTGGCGTCCGTCCGAGTGGCTGCTTCTCTTCTCCATCAGAGCCCAGCTATGCTCAGCCCATTTGCTTGGGTCCCAGCAGACCCCAAGGCCATGGGAGCCTGGGAAGGAGCTCACCCGGGGGAGTGACTGACAGGTTGTCAGGCGCCCGACTTTGGGATGGGAACTCGGGCAATCAGACAGCAGCTGAGATCCCAGGGGGAGCTGGCCCTGCTGATGGATGCTCTGAGTCTCTGCCATCTGCTTCTGCTCTGTCTCCCTTGCCCACCCCCCAACTCCCATCCCGCCTTCTTGTGCTCTCCTTGGTCACTGGCCAGTGGTGCTGGGGGTGGCAGAGCCAGCAGGTCCATCAAGCAGGGGATGCAGGGAGGCTGGAGCCATCAGTTCATGAATCAGCTCAGCTCTGGTGCTCCTGTCAGTGGGAGACAAAACAGCGGCATCTGGAGTATGTGCCCCAGGGGCCCAGTATACGCAGGGGAGAAGGAGGCCTCTGAGACCAGACGGACCTGGCCTCAAACCCTGATGCCACCACTCACCAGCTCTGTGACCTCGGGAAGCCACTTGACTTCTCCAAGCCTCAGGGTCCTCCTCCGTAAAATAGGGATAGTAGAACCTGTCTTGCCTAACTCACAGGTTGTTGAGAGGATCAAATGAGAGAGAGGGTTTCCAGATTGCTACCAATGGACACTCCCATTATTGCTAAGCACACAGTGGGCTAGTGGCAGAATCCAGCTCGCACCCACTTCTCCGCCTCCCTGACTTTTGTTCCTACTCTGTACTAGCATCGGTTTCAGCTTGGTTTGGAGGCAGAAGAATAGACTTGATGACCTTGAGAGTTGAGCCCCTCTGGGTCTGCTTGATTCAGTTCCAGGGGCACATGAGAACTGGGCCATTGTTGTGTTTGTTTAACTGATTAAATGACTGATCAGTGAACGTGGCTCATGAAATTGTACCTTCCAGTGAATTCCTAAGCTGATGGCTAGAGACTCGCGAAGGCTGTGTGATGGGGAGGAGGCCTGTAGGAGCTCCAGCCCCTGAGAGACTTGCAAACTCTTTGGGGAGGTGGGACACCCATGTAAGAGCTATTAGCTAAAAATACAGGGCAGAGCATCCAAGATACCACGTCTGGTCTGTTAATAGTAGCATCCCCAGTGCCTAACGTACATGAGCAGCAGTCAGTAAATCCCTGTCAAACGCAGGAATAAAGAACGACCGGCACAATCTTTGTATGTTACCCAAGGCCACGTGGCGCTTCCATGCTCCTGGGAGATGTGGTGAAAACTTGCTCTGAACCTCAGACTGCTCAGCTGTTCCACGGTTGTTTGTCGCGCTCCTCTGTCCCTGCTCATGAGAGGACAACCTCTTCCATGTCGTGTCAAACCACTAGACTCACACACTGTTTTGCACTTCCCCTTTTTCTACAAAAATGTAATCGTCCTGGGAATTGTGCCATCACTTTACTGATGAGGGTGTCACAGAGGAGGGACCACTGGTTTTGCCAACTTTTACAAGTTGCCCCATTGAACTCCCTGACCTTGGCTCCCTCCCCAGCTTTCAGAGAAATGTAGTTCAGGGGGTGTCTCCATCCCCTTCCTCCCCCAACCCACAGCTTTTCCTGCAGGTAGGAGGGCTGCCAGTCTGCTTGCCCCAGTGCCAGAAATTCCAAAGAATACAATATTCTCTTTTTTTTCCTTCCACATGAATCTCCCAGGCCCTGTGAGTCCCCAGAGGACCATGAGGCAGGTTTGGACTCAGGGCAGAGAAGCCCCTTCTAAAGGGGCTGAGAGCTATCTAGACTGCCGAGCTCCCTGCCATGGGAGGTGAACCAGCACAGTGCAGCTGCAGGAGCTCCTCTGGGGTGCAGATGTAAATCCTCAGGTATTTATTCAACTTGGGGGTTGGATATTACAGCAGGACACTCATTGATTCATCTAATCGGAGGGGCACCTCTAGCAATAATAAGCATCGGCACTGCTCCAGCTTTTATTACATTCATCATAGGTAAGGATATGAAGCTGGGAAGAAGGGGACCCAGGTTTATGGCCCCAGCTATTTTACTGACTCTCAGTGTGGGCCTGCTCAAATCTCCCTCCATCAGTGGGCCTCAGTTTCCCCATTTGCACGATGCAAATTCTCTAACGGGGACTGGGTGCTTCCCTGGGGCCCTGCAGCTCTGAGACACTGTGATTTCCTGGTATCTCAAGAATAGAAGGTGATGTGTTTTTTCTGCAACAGGAACGAGTGTCAAGTTTGTGGGAAATTGAGAGTGACTGCATCTTCTTATCGCTCTGGCTCTGGGCCCAGCTGGGGCTCTGTCTGGCTGCCACAGAGGAGGAAGGGGCGCCTTAGACCCTCCTCTGGTCTGTGGAGAAAGTGAAGCTGGACCTTGGTGTTCTGCATGCAGTGGGCCCAGCCAGGCTTCTGGCCTCCTCAGCCTGTGCAGAGACAGAGCACGGTGGCCTCTGCCTCGGGAAGGGGGATGGGGAGCATCTCTCTGCATCTCTGTGCTGCTGGGGTCAGCTCTGCTCTTGGCATGGGGCTGGGATCATGGAGGCCACTCCTGTCTGTCTTCCTCTTGCAATGCAGGCTCCATGGGAGGATGTGGGAAAGCATGGTTCTTTCTGGCTCTCATTGAGATTGGTCCAAATATTCCAAAACTTTTCCTAAGTTCTCAAAGACCTTCTTAATTATTAGTAACATTTGAAAGACAATCAACTCCCACATGCCAGGTTCTGTTCTGGGCACTGAGGTATAGCAGCAAATAAGAAAGAAATGGCCTTCGGCTCCGGCCCCATAGTGCACCCACCACCCGCCTCTGCCAGCATCTGGGACCCCAGCCAATTTCCCATCAAGCCAGAGCGCAGGCAGCTTGGTCAGGTGCGGCGAGATCATCAAGTGCTCAAGCAGAAGGGATTCTGCCTTGTGGCCAGAAGTTCCTTCAGGCCCCCGAGGAACATCTAAAGCAGCGCAACGTTGACCTGAAAGACCACCCTCTCTTCCCGGAGCTGGAGAAATGCATGAACTCAGGGCCGGCTGTGGCCATGGTCTGGAGGGGCCGAATGTGGTAAAGATAGGGCGAGGGATGCTTGGGGAGACCGATCCAGCGGAATCTAAGTCAAGCACAGTGCGAAGGGACTGCTGCGTTCAAGTTGGAAGGAACATCATGGATAGCAGTGATTCAGTAAAAAAGTGCTGAAAAAGAAATCGACCTGCGGTTTTAAGCCCGAAGAATTGGTGACTACAAGTCTTGTGCTATTGGCTGGATCTGTGAATAACAGGGGAGCAACGCAGCAGTCTCCTTCAGCCCCGCTTGATGTGTCCCTGGGCACGGCTCTGCATTCCATGGACTTGGAAACAGTAGGATTAATCTTTCCTTCCTAAAATACTTGCCAGTAAAAACTGTGGAAACTGGGGAAAGGAAAAGAAAGATTGATAGAAGGAAGGGAAGGAAGAAAGAGAAAAGGAAGGAAGGAAGGAAGGAAGGGAAAGAGACAAGGGTTATGATATGAGGCAGTCCGTTCTCTGACAGGAGCTCACAAAGGGCTATGGGATCATGGTGGGACTGAGGGGGCTGGTACCAAGATGTGGTAGGTCCAGACAAAAATTCTGAAGTCTAAGCAGGAATTTGCTAGACTAAGGGAATGTAAGGAGGAAACTGGCCTCTTCCAGGGAGAAGGAGCAATGCCTGCAAAAGCCTATCATAGGGAGAGAGCAAGTTTCATTCTGGGCCTTGCAGTGGCTGTTTCTTACATGTGAATGACTGGTGAAGGGCAAGGAGTAGGAGATGGGAAGGGGAGTACAGGGCATGCGAAGGAACTGAGGCTGGCAAGAGAGGGCCAGGATCAGGCAGGGTCAGAGCCATGAACGTGGAGGAGGCTGAACGTTATCCTGGAGGTTGTGGGAGCCAGGGACGCCTTTTAGCTGGAGTGACGTGGTTGCATATGTAATTAGAGAAGGTGTCAGTGACGCTGTGTGGAAGATGGACAGGAGGGAGAGGAACGTGGAGATGAGTTGGGAGACTGGTTCTGTGAACCAGATGTGGGATGATGATGGATGGGCTGCAGTAATAGAAATAGGACTGGAGATAATTTGTGAGACTGAAGAGGTGGAATCAACAGAACCTTGGTTCCCATGAACTCCCATGAATTCTGAATCATTTCGTTTTCCAAATCCACTGTATCCTTTAAGCGATTCAAGTATCACATCCACTAACACAGTAATAATAAAGGAACTAATATGGAATTGAATGGGCTTTATGTGTGCAGCTTTGGAAATGGGTCTTATCTACTCACCACCCATCGTGACATAATAGGAAATCAGAACTCTGGATCATCAGGAACTGAATAACTGCATCTCACTTAGTCAATGTAATCATAGCCTAAAGCAGAGAAACCTGATGTTTTAGTTACCTGAGTTGCAGCTGGTCACCAAGATCTGGTCTCTCTCGTCTCTGGCATCACCCTGCACATAGCTGTCCACATTACAGTCAGAAAGATCTTTCTAAAATGAAAGTCGGCTCTTGCCTTCAAATCCTGTGGGAGTGCCAGAGTTCCTCTCTCCCCTCTCAGCACCCTCTCCCTCAGTGGGCCTCATCCACCTCCAAGAATACCACCTATATGCTATTTATTCTCAAATACATCTCATGGTCAGAATGCTATCCTGATCTTCAGACTCCAAATCCTACATGACATCAGCCTCCCATCTACCAGTCCCCGTCTCTTCTAATGCTTCCCAGCGCTGTAAATGCTTCCACCAGCCATGTGGGAATCATCCCTGGTCGCCATCTTCCCTTTCTCTTACCTTCACGCTCAAGTCATTCTGATTTACCTGCTTCGTTCCAACTCTGCTGCCGAGGCCCCCGGCCCCCGAATCTAGACCCCTGTGTTCTCTTGCTGGGTTTCCTTCAGGAACCTTCTATCTGGAATCCCTGTTTCTGTCTTGCTTCTCTCTAAGCCATTCTTCATACAGCAGCCAAAGGGACCTTTTAAAACATAAAATGGAATATGTCATCCTCCACTGCCGCTCTGCTTAAAATCAAGTAGCACTTCCCACTTCTCTTAAAATACCATCCCAAGATGACAGGGCACAGCATAATCTGGCCCCTGCCTACCTGTGTTGGATTTGTAGCAAGTCAAGTTAGCTATGCTGGAACTACATTTCCCAGAATCCCCTTCACTGCATATCCCAGGTGTGCAAGGGGGCACAGAGAGGGTTTGTGGGAGATTTGGAAGGAGGAAGCTGAACAGCAGTCATATTCTTTTACACTTGACTGGTGACTGGTGCAGCCGCTAATGTGGCACGGGGCAGGGCTAGCCTGCAGTTCCTCCATCTCCTGCCACACCGTCCTTTGGCTTCTTCTTCTCGGGCCCAGGGGGGTGCTCAGCTCCGCGATGAAGGGCCCCGCTTCTCCTGCAGGCCACCGGCATAACCCAAGGAGAAGTTTTGGAGGCCCTGAGACCTTCAGGATTCCATCTTCACTTCTTTCCTCTTCGACTCTCTGCCCTGGTGACTTCAGGCCCCAGCATCAGACACAAAGACAACAGGCTCAGATAGACAGTTACGCCACCTGTTACAGCTACAGAAGGTCAGCTCCCTGTAATGAATCCCTTGTTCTTACTCCTCCCAGTCCTGTTTCTGGGACTGGACCGTGCCGTGACCAACGCCCTGCCTCTCCAGGATCATCCTGGGCAACACCCCCTCATGCTCACTGCGGCCAGCCTGCCTGGCCTTCAGTTTGCTTTTTGTTTTCTTGAACATGTGACGCGCCTCCCACTCTGAGCCTTTACGTGTGCTCTCTTCTTCCTTTGTGTGTATAACGCTCTGCTTCACACTCTCTGCCTGGCCGACTCCTGTGCTTCCTGTGAATCTCAGGCCTGTTACGTTTTCTCATGGCACTAAGTACTTCTTTGTTTAATAGCCCTTAATGGTTTGTGGGGTTTTTTGTGTGTGCATGTATACATGGTGTGACCATTTCTATTATGTCTGTCTCCCCATGTAGGCAGGGCCACATCTGATAACTTCACCTCCTGTAGCCCGGCCTAGCCCTAGTGGAGTGGGCGCTCCATAGTAGTTCTTTCGTGATGATTTATCTAACAACTGAGTGAAACAAAGAATGAGCAGACAAAGGGGAAAAAGAAAGAAAGGGAGAAGGAAAAAAAGGATGAAAGAGAGAGAGAGGGAGGAAGGAAGGAAGAGAGAGACAGAGGAAGGAAGGGAGGGAGGGAGGGAGGGAGGGAGGGAAAGAAAGAGAAGGGAATAAAAAGAGGTCTTATTTGTTGTGCAATTTTCAGCTAAGTTACCACTTCCCCAGGAGGTTGGGTTAGAGGCCCCTCTGGGTTCCCTGCTATCACATCCCTTCCCACACTGGATCCTGAGTGTCTCCTGCTTTCTCCTCTCCCCCACCAGACTGTAAGGTCTCTGAGGTGGGGGCTGGGTGGGAGGAGCACAGTGAACCTGTGGCAAAGGTGCTGGATTCATGGGAAGCCCGAGGTTCTCAGCCTGGCGCTCCTTCCAGGTCTTTTACCATAAACTCCCTGCTCACCCCCTGGGCTCAGTTCTTCCTCTCCCCAAAGTCTTCACTGTTACCTGAACAGTCATGCTCCCCTGGCCTCCAAGCCTTTGCATACGCAGTTCCTTGCTTGGGCTGGCCTCCCCTCCTCTATCCGACAACGTCTAGATGCTCTTCCCGCCAGCCTTCCAGAGCAGGCTCCACCCGGCCAGCCAGAGGACCGGCTGCCGGGGGCAGTGAAGGCTCACTCAGGCTGTGGGGCTGGCTGATTTTTTCCAAGGGTTTTCTTCCTTCCAAATGCTTCCCCAGTGATTGAAAGTTTTGCCTGAAATAACGAAGGTCACTGAACCAAAAAACCCACCAAAACTGAAGGGAGGGCTCAAGTCAATCCTGGATATTGTCTCCTGGGTTCTGGGGACCATAACTCCCTTCACTGCCAACACTCTCAGCTCTGCCCCTGCTGGGGTGTCCTACAACACACCCTGCCCTCCACCCCCTCCCAACTCAGTGCCTTTCCCCCTGCACAGGCTCTGGAGTTAACTTGGGATCAGTAGTATGGCTGCCTGTGGTCCAGAGTTCCAGTCCTTATGCTTCATTCATTCATTCATTCATTTATTCACTCACATGTATTCCTTTTGGGCCGGGCACTAGGGGTACAAGATTAAGAGTCTCTGACTAGGTGAGAGGCATGTAAACAGTCACAGCCTCGTATGACAGATGGGATCATAGGGGGCCAAAGAAGAGAGGACATGGGGGACAAGGGAGCCTTTTCCGAGGAAGTGACATCTCAGTGGATACCTGAAGGATTATAGGATTTGGCTAAGCAGAGGGGCAGGTGCTCCAGGCAGAGAGAACAGCAAGTCAGGCCCTCAAGCAGAAGTGAGGGCTGAGAGGCTGACTGGAATGACATCACAAAGGGACTTAGAGGGTCACAATGACAAACTTGAACTTTTCCCAGGGGGCAGTGGAGAGCCACTTATAGGTCTTTGTCTATCCAACTGTGAAATGGAACGAACCACCTTGCATGTGATTCTGCTGAGGAGGGAGGCCTTCTAGCACCTCCTCTGCTCTTATCTACCTCACTGTGGGGCCTGGGCCTATCCTTCCCTACCCATACCCCAACCTGCCCCACGCCCAGGCCTCTTCAACTGGAAAATGAGGCACTGGGACTAAAAGCTCTGCCAGCTCTGAGATGCTCCTATTCTAGGATAATCTCTTTAATTAGTTAACTAATCAATTAAATAAGATTTTTCTGAGCACAAATGTGATGGCAGGCATTTTAGAAGGAGATGGGGATCCCCGGTGCGCTCCTGCAGGAGCTCACGGTGTGCTGGGGAGGAAGATACCCGGAGCTGTACCCATAGCACGAAGCAGAATAAGTTCAGAGCTGTAGGGGCCAAGTGGAGTGAGCAATTCATTCTCCCTCAGGGATCTGGGGGCAGCTTCAGAGAGGAGGTGGCAGGTGATCTGGGCCTTGAAGGCTGCCCTGGGGTATGAAGAT